TGACAGACAGTGGTCTACATGCTTCATACCCAATGATTCATTCCTCTGAACAATTCTAGTGGTAGTCACTATTACTGTTCCCATTTTACTGATGAAGAAACTGAGGCACAGAGAGGTCAAATGACTTGCCCACGTTCTCAGAAGAAAGAAATGGTAAAGATAGAAACCCAGGCAGCCTGACTCAAGAACTTTTGGTATTTATTACTACACTGTTGAACTCAGTATATAACCACCGTTCCCCAAAATAAGTCAATCAATTCTACCCAAATGCGGAACAAATGATTTCCAAAGGTATCTCATGATGGTTTTATGTGGCCTAACATATGTGAACTTTGTGGCTGCTGTTTTCCTGTGACAGCCACTTTCCTTGCAGCTTTTTAAAAATGTAGTCGTTTGCTAAGTAAGTCCTTGCCATGTGCCAGGCACTGTTCTGGAAGCTAGATATAGATTCAAAAGATTATAGAATGTTGACAGCAGAAGAGATGCCAGCCAGCAGTTTAAATCTGGCTGCACATTAGAGTTACCACAGGAGCTTTGCAAAGGTACTGCTGCCTGGGCCCCATCTGCAGAAACAAGAGAAATAGAAGCCCTGTGTGGCGGAATGCCAGCCTGGATGACAAGGACAGCCCGGCTTAGAGGAGTGACCCGCCTAAAGCTACAGAGCTAGACATTTTTCAAGTTCCCATCATTTTCAAAAAATGTTTCTACTACACCATTAAAATTGTTTGAGGTGGTCAGAAAGCTGACCACTTCAACAAGTACTTCGGCCAAGGCTGACAAAACAAGACAAAACTAGTTAGAGAAGAAAGTTGGTCACAGATATCTGGATCGCTGCTGTAATAGAAAATTACCTCCCAAAGCTGAATGGAGTATCCAAAACACTTAAACATTTTGCTGTCATATGAATTACCAGAGTATAATCCATTATTCACCAAATCTGAACTTTTATGGACTAGAACAAGTCAAAGGCAGCACAGGCGAGAGAAAACAGCATTCGATTTGGAACTATGTAAGACGGGGTTCAAATCTAGCACTTTGAATTTCTGGCAAATTTATTCATTGCCCTAGCTCTTGACTCTGAATCTGTACAAAATGAGATGTGAAATACCTCCTGCGCTGGTAATTTAATCAAATCATGTCCATAAATGATTCTAGCACAGTTAATTAGGTAATTCACGGACAGTAAGCCACCTTATATTCCTTCCTTTGAATACAACTAAAAAGGAAATTAACAACGCAGTAACCTATGTAAATTACTGAATATGACCCGTGTTCTATAAAAGCAGACACGTGCTCAACTGGAGACCATTTTTGCATATAATCCGTAGAAGCCTGATCTCTGGCAGACCTCCTCCTGGTCTACCTGCCACAGCTGCAGGGACCAGGCGTTTCCTTCTGCTCCTCCCTGGGATGCACAGCCAATCTTCCTTCTCCCCTCGTGACTATCAGCAGCCTCCATTCACACTCTGATCTGCGTCCAAGTCCTCATTCAGACAGAGGCTATTTCTTCACCACAAAGTGGTGACAACAGGAATGTGGCACATTCCATACACACTCGGCTGAAATGCCATAAGCATTGAAGTGTTAGGGCTCAGAAGCAGATGTCCTTGAAAGGTTAGAAACAATTGCATACCGGTGAAGCCTTCCGTGTCTAACTGTTTTCATACAGAAGTTTGCTGGTTTCGTTTTTTTTGTTTTTTTCTGATTTTTGACACAGAGACTCACTCTGTGCCGTGGGCAGAGTGCTACGGCACCATAGCTCACAGCAACTTCAGACTCTTGGGCTTGAGCAATCCTATTGCCTCAACTTCCCGAGTTCCTGGGACTACAGGGGTTCATATCTATCACCGGCTGTATTTTCTATTTTTAGTAGCTACGGAGTCTTGATTTTTCTCAGGCTGGTCCTGAACCCCTAAGCTCAAGCAATCCCCCAGGCTCAGCCCCTAGAGTGCTAGGATGACAGGCCCAGCACGTTTTCTGAAGCCCTGGCATTCTCCCCTCTGCCTCTGGGATGGCTTGCCCTGCTCTGGCTCCCCTTCTCTCCCCTCCCCTCCTTCCTTCTCTCACTCCCTCCTCTCTGCTCGCTACTCTCTTTCTCATCTCTTCCCCCGATCTCTTTCCTTTCTCTAGAATGAAATAAACTTACATGTTTATATTCTAAAAAAAAAAAAAAGTTGTTTGAAGAGATATTATTTCCCCAGTGGACCAAACCAGATCACTTTTGGGGTGTGCACATGAAAGGCGTGCACATCGACTTTCCTCAACAAGTTCTTCAGCTCCTAGAACAAGGCTAAACACCTTGCAGAATCCTAACGCCTTGACTGACGTATTGACTAGGAAAAGTTACTCTTTAAAATTGAATTTTACCTAATGCTGCCAAAAGCATTGACATGTTCTGAGTTTGTACAACGCTCAGTACCTCTGAGGAGCACCTGGTGACACCAGGCATGGCCCCCACTGGGGAGCGTCCGGGAAGAGCCTGCCTAACGCCATGACCTGGGCCCCAAAGGGAGGTAAACTGGACATTCCACCACCAGTCCCACAAATCACATACAATCTGCTGAACCATCCGAAGTTCCCTGTCACAGCTGTTTTACATAGTATTTTCTGCTAAGGCCACAGCGGTGCTCCAGAATCTTAATAGCCACCTGTAAAAATGTTTTCCATGTAAAATTGTGTGCCATAAGGTTTCTCTTGAGGAAAGAATTCCAAATGATTAAAGAATTCCAAGTGATTTAAAAAAAATATTTTTGAAAACAGCATTTCCTAAAATATGTGTGGCACAACTAAAGCTCCATGGGATGCTTGATATGCAAAATGAAGAAATAAATAAAAGTAAAGATTCACAGGAAGAAATAATTTTGAGGAAATACCAACTTCAGCAAAATTAATGTCTTTTTTTAATGCACAGGATTTCTCCAAATCTTTATCATATGAAGCTGTATGTATAGTAACAACTGAAGAAGTAGATCTCAAACACAGAATAGTTCCCAAACTTATTTTTTTTCCTCGAGCATTTTTCCACATTTGGGTACTCTGGAACACCAATTTGGGAAACACTGCCTTGAAATGTCGTCATCATATACTAGCTTTCCAAAGTCCTAGCCCTTCTGATGGAAGAAGGGTTGGTCCACCCAGCAAACAGACCAGAGGAACCTCTCAGTTGACATCAGCAGTCTGAGTGCTTAAGAAACTTTGGCAATTCGCATGAGGAGTGAAATAGCTCTTCCCATACTAATCGTGGCTGGTTATATAACCACTCAACCCTATTATGAAACTAATTTATAGCTTTCATATGAAAGCTATAATCTAATTATAGCCTAAGAATATGGGGAGGGGGGAGAGGAAGGGGGGAGGGGAAGGGGAGGGGAGGGAGGTGGATGGGTGGAGGGAGGGTGATTGGAGGGATCAC